CCCAGGTTCAATTCCTGGTCAAAGGCACATGCCCAGGTTGCAGGCTCGATCCCCAGTGTGGGGCGTGCAGGAGGCAGCTAATCCATGATTCTCTCTCATCATGGATGTTTCTATCTCTGACTCTCTCTCCCTTCTTCTCAAAATTAATAAAAATGGATTTAAAAAATAATAAATAAGTAAAACTCCCCCCGCCCGGGTGATGCGCCGTGTGCTCTGGGTCACCAGCATCTCATCTGTGCCGGCAGCCGCGGGGGCCTGTGGGGGCTTCCTGTCCCGGCCTTCGGGGCGCTTCTCCAGCCCGTCCTACCCCGGGAGCTACCCCAACAATGCCCGCTGCGTGTGGGACATCGAGGTCCAGAACAACCACCGCGTGACCGTCGTCTTCAGAGATGTGCAGTGAGTGGGGTGCAGGCGGCCATGGGGCCTTGGGGGGACCTGGGGGACGTGGGGAAGGGAGCGACCGGAGCAGGAGCTCTGGGAGAGAGGATGCCCGTTGGCATTCTGCCCGTGAGTGCGGTTTTCGACCCAGCACAGGGGCAGCCGCGGCCGTGGGGCCAGCACAGGGCCTTGGCTTCCAGTCTGTGTGGTCCCTACTGCCCAGTGTGGCCACAGGACGTCACTGGACTTTCCCGAGCCTCAGTCCAAAGAGAGGGATGAGCCGGCCGGCGTGGCTCAGGGCTGGAGTGTCCACCTCTAACCCAGGAGGTCAGGGCTGGAGTCCCAGTCAGGGCACGCGCCCGGTTGTGGGATCCATCCCCAGTAGGGGGCGTGCCGGAGGCAGTCGATCCATGATTCTCATCATTGGTGTGTCTATCTCTCTCCCCCTGTCTCTTCCTCTCTGAAATCAATAAAAATATATTTTAGAAAAATAGAGGGGTAAGCCCTGGCCGGGTTGGCTCAGTGGGTAGAGTGTCAGCCCTCAGACTGAAGGGTCGCAGGTTCGATTCCCGGTTGCAGGTTCGATTCCCGGTCAAGGAATCGGTGCAGGCTCGGTACCTGGCCCCAGTCGGACCGCGTGTGGAAGGCAACCTATCTCTGTCTCTGTCACATCGATGTCTCTCTGTCTCCCCCCTCCCTCCCACTCTCTCTAAAAATCAATGGGAAAATGCCCACAGGGGAGGATAGCAAAACAACAGCAAAGCCTTCTGTTAAGTGGAGCCCACCCTGTGTCCGCGTCCGCAGGCTGGAGAGCAACTGTAACTACGACTACATCCAGGTGTTCGACGGCCCCGCCCTCAGCTCCCCGCTCATCGCCCGGGTCTGCCACGGCTCAAGGGACTCCTTCACGTCGTCCTCCAACTTCATGTCCATCCGCTTCGTCAGCGACGGCAGCGTCACCCGCAGCGGGTTCCAGGCCGAATACTATTCCCGTCCCTCCAACCACAGCACCAGTAAGTCCCAGGCTCTCGGGGCGGGGTGCCTGCCCCCCCACCCGGCACCCGCATAGGCGGGACACCAGACCAGAGCCGCCGGCAGGTCCGCGTTCCGGATCTGCTGCCAGAAGGGACCAGTGGACGCCGTGCCCAGGGCGGAAGTGGCCCTGGCGGGAGGCCTGTGACCAGCAGAGTGAGGGGCACAGTGACCGTGTCCTGAGACCTGGCACATGTGGCTGCCACCTAACTGCTCCAGCCCCAGCAGAGGCTGATGGCCAGCACTGGAGCTGTGCAGGGGACGGACAGATGGACGGACAGACTGACTGTGGCCGGCGGGCAGGTGCTGTCCAAGCCCTTGTTCCGCGGGACTCTGCCCTGCCGGCTCCATAGCCCACGGACCCAATTTCACCGCGTCCCCACGTTTCCACCCGAGCATCACTTTACTCTGCGGCTCA